GGGAGCAGGAGCCACAGCAGGAGGGCCAGTGCTGCCCTGTTAGTGTTATGCTTAAAAGCAGCACATGGGATCTTTGTCAGGGGGATAAGGCAACATGCTGCATTCATTGATAATATAACAAAATATCATATCCATTCACACACACACACACACACACACACACACACAGCCTGTTGATGCCATAGTTACCAATCTGTTGTTCGGCCCAACCTATTGGCCAGACAGGTCGAGTGCGAGAGAGAAGCTGGGTTCTTGTCAGTCCGGACAGATGACATAGCAGGACAGAACCCAAAAAATAATGCAAGACACCCCATCCTTTATAGGATTTTCTTCCCATGTAAGTCTATTCATTTTGCCTTGTCAGGTCTTAATCAGTCACTCAGCATCACAATCAGTTTTTCTGTGACATATGTTTATCTGGAGGTTGTTCTCGCAGTCATCTGATATCAGGATGCTGACGACCCCTCTGGGGTGTTGTCTTCTGGTGAAAGTTATCAGTTCCCTATCAAGGGCTGCTTGCCACTAACTTCAGGGCTTGTCAATCTGCCCTGGTCCAGTCTGCATCTTCAGTGTGCTTTAGCTTCGTTGATAATTATTTGGTGCTTCTGTGACTCCGGCCTCTCCTCTGGCCATCTGAGTATACACTGGCCTTCACGCTTATCTCTCTTAAAACATTCTTTCTCCCATTCACACAAATAACACATGTACACAATTGCAGCACAGAACAAAGAGTACTTCTAGCCACTTTAACAAAGTCACAAAGTCTTTCAACATTAAACTTCTGTCTATCCATTACAAGGCTTTACCTAATACTAACATCACTATGCATTACATCCATTCACTTTAATATCAGAACATGCTAAAATCAAACTGAGCTGGAGCTAAGTTAACAAAGCTACCTTATGTTTGTCTGAGCCCTACATTTTGTATTTGTCTTTTGAAAAGTAATAAAAACCTTATATTATAACATACATTAATTATAACTAACTTATTACCTACAAGATTATGAGGCTACAGTCAAGAACCCCAGTAGCTGAGAACTGGTTTGCTGTGGCGGGGATGGGGGGAGGGCAGGATTCTCAGTGGTGGGACTGTGGGCTGGTGGGACTGGGAGCATCCGCAGTGGAACCATGGGATGCTGTGACAGGGCAGCAGGGTAGGTGGCAGAAGCGAAGCTGGCTGGGAGACCAGGTGAGGAGCGGAGCTGGCTTGGGGGGGACAGTGGCGGGGGGGCAGAAATAACCTTCTGTGGTCTGGCAAAATTCTTCCTTTGGGACCACAGGGAGGCCCAATTGATAGAAAGTATCTGAAACAGATTTGGGAATTGCTTGGCTCTCATTTTTGTACTCTGAATCAAAAATGCAGTGCTTCAGATTTGAAATAGGGTTTCCAGGGACAAGGTGACACACATAGCAGATCAACAGCAATGTCTATAGTTTCCCTTTGGCATATTTGGCATACATTTAAGCTGTTTTAAAATGTGTGTGTGTGTGTGACATTTTCCCGCTTATCAAAATTGATGATATTGTAATTGATGTTACTGCATAGAGCCTCTAACAATTAATTTTGCAGTCCGAGGTAACTACAACTGTAACCCAGATCAATTGCACTAACAAGAATAATGAATAAAGGAAAGAAAATCAGTAAATATAACTTCCACATGCAAGTTCTTTATTTAACTATACCTGTTATTACATGAGCCTCTGGGAGGGATCCTTTATATTTTTGGCAAGAGGCTTATAAAGTAAAATGGCCTCCTAGAAACAACATCAAACATGTCCTGCTGGTGCTACTAGGCAACCAGATGCTGTCCACTGGGAAAATATTTAGTAATGGTTGTAATTGACAGTGTAAACCGAAAAACACAAAAGTACAAAATGAAAGCCAAACCACTGAGCTGATAAGTATTCCATTATTTCTGAACACTTGCATGGTCACACTATGGTACCATGTTGGGTACTGAAACTACCTTACAACTTTAGATTATGTGTCTTTACATATACGGATATACAAACAGAAATTGAGGATAATGGAGAGAACAGCTTGGAAATGGTCTTATTTACTTTAGCATGTCTCCTAACAGAAAAAACAGGTTTGTGAGTGGGGTGCATTCAAAGTGTGTGCTGGGACTTGGAGAAGGTATTTGAACATTTTGCCTTCCCAGAGTCTAAATGATTTAATATTGCTCTCTTTTTGCTATAAGCTTGATTTTTTTAATGAAGTTAACATTACGAAATTCAATGCCCCACTTACTATTAAAATTTTAGTCACGCTTTTAGATTTTTCTAAACCTTTAAAATGCAAAATAGGTAATGTTGACTATCAAGATAATCACTTTGTCCTTTTTGTGCCTTTAAACTAACTATTCTCAGATCACAGAATATACTCACTGTTCCAACCCTCAACTCCCATTGAAGGAGCTACAGTTGAAGGCTCCCTGTATTCCTTTGAAAATTTACTCTGGATTGAGCACAACCTGGCTCTTAATTTAGGTTTGTAAAACACTGTGTTAGGCTATGTCTACACTAGAGAGTTTTGTCAGTACAAGTTAAGCTGACAAGCAGAAAACAGCGTAATTGCATAACTTGTATACGTTCGCATTATGCTCCATCTGTTGGCAGAATACATCTATACCTTGTGCTGTAGCATCAACAATGAGAGCAGCTGGTAGCTTATCGTGGGATAAATTGATGGGATAAGTTACCATGAGTAGCTTATGCCAGTGTTACTCATCACCTTCTGCAGCTCAGAGTTGTGGGAAGATAGAGTAGATCACAGTGAAACATAGATGCAGGCTCAAAATCCCATAATGCAGTTCTTTCCATCCCAGCATTCTATGGGCTTCCAACTGTGTATTATGACATTTCCTAATGGTGTCTGTTTACTGTGCACCTGCCATCTGTGAAAGAATGGGTCCACATTGCTCTCCTCTGTTATGGTCACTGTTATGAACATATCATAAATAATCATGAGCACACAATCTGAAAGGACATCTGAGTTGCCCGACTGACTGTGTGCCATGGAAAGAAATACCAGATTACTTCTGGCATTCACAAAGTGGTACACCTTTGCTTTTTAGGTTCACAAAACAAGAAAAAAGTGGTGGGATCAAAAAGTTATGCAATTTGAGGATGACAAGCAGTGGTTGCAGAATTTTCAGCTGCAGAAAGCTACCTCCCTGGAACTGTGTGCAAAGTTTGCCCCAGCCCTGTGGCATAAGGACATCAAAATTAGAGCACCCCTTTTGGTGAGGAAGTGTGTAGTGAATGCAGAGTGGAAGCTGGTCACTCCAGACTCAAGCTACTTAGTCGTGAAGAGGTAGCATTAATTGGGTTCTGAGTTATTCTGGGAAGTTGCAAAGAATGCATAAGGAGGAGTTTGGAGAGGACATAGAAAACAGTTTTATATCAGCTGCAGGGGAGAAGTGCCAAGCATGCAATGTGTTCTGCCTGAAGCGTGAGTAGGGGCTTCAACATCTCTTTGCTTTTCCATCACTTTTATTATCATTCTTATACCTTTGCAATATGCTGATCACTCTCCTTACTGTCCTGCCCTTCCAATTTATATTTTTTTTCCTTCAGGGTCTCTCCATTTTCTATGTTCTCCTTTTCACAGCCTCTGAGGATTGGAGCACCTCTCAGAACAGGTCCTCAACTCTTTATCCATCAGATATTCTTCACCAACCCATAGGGGTGGTTCCCCTCAAGGTCACATCAGCAGAAGCACAAGAAATAATATACAGAAACATGGTGGTTTGTTCATGCACAGCAATGAATTATTGTAGTAAAATGCACCTCTTTTAAAATACCAGTTATTTTCTAACCGTCCCTTTTTGCGCACATATCTTGGTGAACACCCTGGGCATGGTGATATTGGTCTGGATGAGGGTTGGGCATTCAAGATGGGACATGGGGTCTAGGCAGCTTTTTGAAAAAAATCAGTGCAGGAAACTAGGCACAACCCTGTAAATTCTGCCACCATTTTCCACAGGTCACTGAAGCTGATTTCTCACTTGAATAAGCAATAATATGAGTGTGCATCTCCTGCATCCATATGGAGTCAAACCCGGTCCATATGCTTCTTCCCTAGGTGCTACTTTGGTCCCTTCACAAGTGATTGCTGATTGATCTGACAAAGTTCCCTACAACAGAGGATGGAGCAAAACAGTGCTGTCAAGAAATCTTTACAGAGGATTGGCAAGTATTTGCAGGAAAGTTTCCTGGAGAAGTCTCTGGAGGACTTCTGAGAAATCTTTGTGTGAATTAATACTTTGTTCCACCACACCGGTAAGCTGCACAAGGAAATGGAGAGCATGCTCAAACATAGGGGCTGTGTCTACACTGGGCCACTTATTCCGGAAAATCATGCCATCTTCCCCTTGAATTTCCGGAAAAGCAACAATGCTCTACTGTACAAAATCAGCCGCTATTCCAGAAAAACTATTCTGCTCCCGCTCGGGCATAAGTCCTTATTCCGGAACACTGTTCCGGAAAAGGGCCAGTGTAGACAGCCCAGTAGTCTTTTCCGGAAAAAAGCCCCGATAGCGAAAATGGCGATCAGGGCTCTTTTCCAGAAAAACACGTCTACATTGGCCACAGACGCTTTTCTGGAAAAAGGGCTTTTCCGGAAAAGCAGCCTGCCAACGTAGACGCTCCTTTTCCGGAAAAACTGAAAATGGAATAGTATTCCATTTTAAGCATTTCCGGAAATTCATGCCAGTGTAGACACAGCCAGGTAGTCTTACACATTGCTATTCACATGTTTCTAGAATATATAGAGCAAAGGACATTTCTGTCCTTTCTCACACTTCTAGAATCTCCATAGCAAAGGATAGCTCATAACTGAGCAGCATCAACTCAAGATCATTTATCAGTGCTCTTCTCTCTTGCCAGAGACAAACAGCTGGGACTGGCTAGATCCCTCCAGTGTGCAAAAAAAGGAGGACCTGACTTGCCATTCCACTAGACAACCTTGGCATGTTCTTCACAGTGTCCTCGAACTCAACCTCCTTGTCTTCAGCATCATCCTCAGGTTATGCCCACTGCCCCCACAGCCCCAGCCGGGTGTCCAACTCCTTATAGAAACAGCAGGTCTTTGGCACTCCACCAGAGCACCAGTTTGCCTCTCTTGCTTTTTGCTGTGACTGCCTCATCTCCTTTGTCTTAGCCTGGCACTAATGCATGTCCTGTTCATAGACAAGCCATGAGAAATCTGCCCATAGGTTCAAAGTTCCCAAGTCTGGAGCCAAGCTGGAGCTGGGACTGCATAGCCTCTTCTCCTCACAGTGCCAGAAGCTTTAACAACTTGGATGTGCTCCAAGTGGGAGAT